CTATCTATCTATCTATCTATCTATCTATCTATCTATCTATCTATCTAATCTATTGGACTAATCCAGAGGAGAAAAATATACTATAAAGCCAGTCAATATGTCCTCAGAATCTCTCCAACTGGATGGATTTCAAACTCCATGCTCTTCGCATGTTTGGACATTGGGAACGTGGCTTTTGGGGGCCGACTGATCCTTCAGTCTTGCAAATGCCAAAGCATCTCTTTTTCCCCTTAAAAAAAACTCTTGAAAAACCTCTCCCAAAATAACCTCTGATCTTATCCCCATTCAGAATGTGGCCTTTTTCAATTCATTTCTTAAAAATTTATTATGGCCTTTAAATTGGCAAATAGCAACTGAAGGAAACAGAAGAGCGAACCAAAACAGAGAAACCAAAATAAGCACATACAACAATCCGCCTTAAATCTTACAATGGATTCCCTGGTGGGGAGGGACTCCATGCTAGAAAATAAAACTCTTCAGTCTGGCAGGTTGCATTAAAAAAAACCACCCCTCTCAGCCAGCACAACGTCAGTTTTGAAACTGTTGGATAGTCTAGGAATCGCTGCTAGAAAAGGAAGAGGAGGTCACCTTTACTAAAAGACAGAAAGTCTGATATGGTCACCAAAGAAGCACTCCGGGGTTAACAAGGTGGCTGAGAGTCAAGGCTGCAATAATAATATAAATTGATATGATTGATTGATTAATTGAGCAATACAGAATAACAGAGTTGGAAGGGGTCTTGGAGATCTTCTAGTCCAACCCCTGCTCAAGGCAGGAGACTCTACACCATTCCAGAAAAATGGCTATCCTGTCTCTTCTTAAAAACTTCCAGTGATGGAGCACCTACAGATGGATGAATAGACAGAGAGATAAAGAGGGATGGATGGATAGATTGATACATTGGATGGATGGGTGAGTGGATGGATGGATGGATGGATGGATGGAGAGAATGATGAGGGATAGATACGATCAATCGATCGATCGATCGATCAATAGATAGATAATAGAGAGATAGAGATAATTGATAATAGGTGATAGACAGAGAACGATAATAGGTAGGTGATAGAGAGAGATATAGAATAGATAATAGAGAGATAGAGATGATAGATAATAAATAGGTGATAGAGAGAGAAAGATAATGTAGGTGATAGAGAGAGATACAGAATAGATAATAGAGAGATAGAGGTGATAGATAATAGGTGATAGAGAAAGATAATAGGTAGGTGATAGAGATACAGAATAGATAATAGAGAGAAGAGATGATTTGGTAGATAAGAGGTAGGTGATAGATATATAAAGAGAGATAAGTAGAGATATAAATAGATGATACATAGATGATAGAAGAGAGAAGGGGAGAGAGAGGGAATGATAGATAGATACAGAGATTGATAAGTAGATAGATGATAGAGAAAGAGAGGGCACAAGAGAGCAATGATAGACAGACAGACAGATACATAGAGACATAGAGACATAATAGATAGGGAAACAGAGACTGCAGAAAGGCAGAATGAAGTGGCAAAGAGTTCCTTTCTGCCAGCAAAGAGTAACACCCCAGCAGTGTAAAAGGAGCAATTAAAGGAGCACTGATTTACACCCAGGAGCAAGAATGAAACCTGCAACGGAAATCCAAATCCGATTGTAGGCAGACAGCGAGACACCGCAGGCAAAATCAGAGCACGACGGGGGGAGGGGGCGGGGGGGGGAATATGCAGGCTCCTGCCCGAACTGCAAGTCTATCGGCATTCGATCCGCCCTGGGCCAGAGACTCACAGGCTGTCCTTCCACCGTTTCTTTTTTTCCTCCTCCCTCCAAGACATTTTGCTCCCTGCTTGTGAAACAAAAATTAATTATTAAAAAGCCCAACATGTCTCAGAGCCGCTCAGCCACAAAAGGTAGCCTCTAAATAATTAAGCGCCGCTATATTTAGAGGAAAGGAAGAGGCCCTAAAATCTAAATTAAACTCTGGAACATAATTTTTTTCCCCCCCCTTGAAGGGGTGAAAGAGAAGAGGGGCTACAAGGGGGGTCCAAGAGGATTTTCATGGCATTGCAGAGAGCAGACTTCAACTACACGAGTCTTCTTTTTTTGTCCCCAGGTAACTTTTCTTTTCAAGTAACCCTTACAGGTAATCCTCGGCTTATGACTGGTTGCTTAGTGACTGTTTAAAGTTACGACGAACCTATCCAAGGTGACTTATGAGCCGGATTTGTAATTCCAACACATCGATCATGTGATCACATTTTGGGCATTTGGCAAACAGGCCACATTTATTGCCGTTTGCAGCGTCCCACAATCACATGAATGCAATTTATGGCCGTTTTTTACAGGAAGTCAGCATTTATGACTGGTTTCCAGCAACAAATGTTCATTGAGGGCAATGGATTTGCTTAATGACCGCCACAAAAGGCTGTAAAATCAGTCACAGGGTGACCCGCTTAACAATCGACATGGCTTAGAGCATGCTGGCTGGAGAATTTTGGGAGTTGAAGTCCACTTGTCCTAAAACATGCTGGCAGGGGAATTCTGGGAGTTGAAGTCCACCCATCCCAAAGTATGCTGGCAGGGGAATTCTGGGAGTTGACAGCCTTATGTCTTGAAGTTGCCAAGACTGAGAAACGCTATTCCGGAACCACAGACAAATTTCTATCTTTAAAAGTTAAAGAGTGTCCTTTTCTCCCTTAAAAAGCTTGGAAGAGAAGTTTCTTTGCAAACTTTAGGACCTTGCAAGCCACGCACATTCCACCTTTTTTTAAAAAAATTATTATTTTCTGGCCAGAGGTCGGTTTGCTTGAAGCACCTGTGAATTTAGAGAAGACAATTTATCGCAGCCAAGAGTGCTGGGCACCCGTTTCTCCCTGCAGTGCGCCAGTCAGATTCCTGATCTGAGGGTTTATTTATTTATTTATTTATTTCAAAAGAGCACAGCACAAGGGGAATTACAAGATAATTTGATTCCTGAAAAATAAATTAGAAACATTTGGGAAATAGGGTGTGTAAGTTATTACAGCCTTGGGGCAGCCGGAAATTATGAGAATAATCATGCAAGCGCAGTAGTGGGTTGTTGTTTTTCCCTTCATTATTTACCTTGGCACTCCACAAGCTGCCTCGAGTTCCAGAGCAGCTTTTGCTACCCCAAGTTGAATGGAGAAAACAGAGATAGTCACAGGCTGGAACAGCTGGACTGCAATAGACACTGTTTTGGTTACGCTGCAGGATTGCACAATTTTCTCCCGCTTAGCCTTCGGGTCGGTTTCGGAGGGACAAACCGGACGTCAGCAGATCTGCGTGTGGATCTGATTCTATAAACACAGAAGAGGAACTTTCGCCCTGCTGACTTCCAGAAGTGAAGATGGTTGGCACCTTTGAGCAGAAGAACACCCAAGGAGTGAAATTTGAAGGAAAAAAGAACAATTCGGATTTAGATCCGTATCACAATACAGAAAATGAAGTAAGGACAGTCTATCTATCTATCTATCTATCTATCTATCTATCTATCTATCTATCTATCTATCTATCTATCTATCTATCATCTGCCGTTATTATTTTTATTAATTTTGTCATGTTTTTTCTCTATCAATCAATAATTTCTCTCTCTGTTCTATTCTCTTTCTCTCATCTATCTATCTCTATGTAATCTATCCATCTCTATATCTATTTATCTATCATCTCATACCTTTATTATTTATCTATCAATCAATAATTTTCCTCTCTGTCATCTATTCTCTCTCATCTATCTCTAATCTATCCATCTCTACCTCTAACTATCTAATCTATCCACCTCTATCTATCTCTCTCTCTCTCTCTCTCTCTCTCTCTCTCTAATCTATCCATCTATATCTACAGTATCATCTATGTATCTCTTGCCTTTATTATTTTTATTAATTTTGTCATGTTTTTATCTCTCTCTCTCTCTAATCTCTCTCTAATCTATCTGTCTATCTCCCACCTTTATTATTTTTTTATAAATAACTCAAGGAAGCGAACATACCTAATAACAGCCTTCCCCCTCCTATTTTCCCCACAACAACATCCCTGTGGATTGAGCTGTGAGAGAACGACTGGCCCAAAGTCACTCTGCCAGACTTCATGCCTAAGGCAAAACTAGAATTCACAATCGCCTGGTGATCGGCCCAGTCACCCAGTCAGTTTTCATGCCTAAGAAAGGACTAGAACTCACCATCTCCCAGGTTCTAACCCATGGCTTAGTCACTAGTTGCCAAAAATCTGACATATTATGCCAGGCTTCCATAGAGAAATAATGTTGTTTAAATCAACAGCTTTCAGCTCAGTAAAAATCTGTTGGTGAATACAGGAACCCTCCAACTCCTTTCCAAAGTCAACACTTTAAAAGAAAAAAAGGGGAAAAAAAGGATGGAGGATGGGGGGGAAAAGAAAGGGAGACAATAAACTTTGCTGCCTAAAAAGAAGAAATAAAAGCAAAGACATTTTGTGCAGCCTCTAGCGGAGTGCGCACACCTGCCCTGTAAAATTGAGAAAAGAACTACTGTTTTGAAAATGTAAAATTAAGTAAGCTCACCCTGAATTGAAAAATAAATAAAATTGCTCCATTTTCCTCGCTCAGACACAAGATTTATCACAGCAGGGGAAATAGAGCTTCCCATTTTCATGGTGTCTGCAACCAATAAAGTTAAAAGTTTGGGGTGTATATAAGCAAAGAAGCTTCTGGTGCGGCCAAAATGCCCACTTCTGGTGGAGAAGTGTTGGAAAATTTGAAAAGGACAAGGGGATCAAAGCCCATGAAATACTTATACAGGTCGTCCAGGGCTTATGACCATTCATTTAATGACAGTTTGAAGTTACAAAGGCACTGAAAAAAGTGACTTTCACACTTATGACCATTGCAGCATCTCTAACGGCATCTGAATTTTGATCATGTGACCCTGGGGATACTGCCATGGTCATAAGTGTGAAAAACAGCCATAAGTCACTTTTTTCAGTGCCATTGTAACATACCAAATTAATTGCTGTAAGTCAAGGACTATCTAATTGGAGACAGCTGATGGACTAGAGAACACCCTGTTTCCTCCCCATGCTCACTCTACTCCCCGCTTCTCCATCCTGCTTAATTTTATTTAATGGGATTTTTGAATTTAAGTTCTGTATTTATTGTTTCAGTGTTTAATTCATTCATTTCATTTCATTCATTCAGCCTTTGGCAACATAGGAAGCATATAATATTTATACAGATAGATGATAGATGGATGGATGGATGGATGGATGGATGGATGGATATGATAGATAGATAGATAGATAGATAGATAGATAGATAGATAGATAGATAGATGATAGGATGGATGGAGGAAGGAAGGGAGAAAAAGAAAGAAAGGAAGATAGGAAGGAAGGGATAGAAAGAGAAAGAGATAAGAAATAAAAAAGAAAGAGAAATAAAAAAGAAAGAGAAAGAAAGAAAGAAAGAAAGAAAGAAAGAAAGAAAGAAAGAAAGAAAGAAAAGATTTTCAGTAGTCTTGTGCAGTAGGTAAAGTCCCCATAGTCTGCCATATTCTTTTTCATCTGATTGATTGATTGATTGATTGAATTTATGTGCTGCCTATTTCCTCCAGAGGCGACAAACACCTTGGTTTGTAAAATGCAAGGGGACACAATGGCAGGGGGTGGGCAGATATTTTTGCTGTCTACTCACACGTCCGTCACTCTTCTGATCCTGTGCCGAAATAAATCGCATCCGCAGCCCAGGGAAATTATGGAAACGTGCAGATATTTCCTTAGTTGGCATTCTGGTCTTGTGAGCTGCTGAAAAGGGCCATTGACACGAGATGTCCTCTCCGTGGAGATTTGCCAAGCTCCTTCATTGTCTGATATTCCATTACAAGCAGCTACCTAATACCAATTAAGGGCACTTATAAAATGATTAACAAATAGATCTGAAATCCTTGAAGCCAGGAAAGTTAAAAGATCTGCAGAGAGAGAGGAGGGGAAGGTAGAAAGAGAGAAGGAGGGAGGGAAAGGGGAGAGGGAAGGAGAGGGAGAGGGGGGAGAGAGGGAGGGAGGGAGAGGGGAGAGGGAAGGAGAGAGGGAAGGGGGGGAGAGAGGGAGGGAGAAAGAGAGAGGGGGGAGGAGGGACAGAGGGGGAGGGAAAGAGGGAAGGGAGAAATGGGAGGGGCAATAAAAACGATCAAAGACTAGCGATGTTCATTATTAGGCATTGTTTTCACGATGGGGTCTTGATTAAGTGAACCTTTTATCATCGCTTAAGGCTTGCCTGGCACAAGTTTAGGGAAATTCTGCCTCCTGGGTGGGAGTGTCAGGGGTGAGACAGGCCCACACACTTCCCAGTCTAGACTACAGGATTTCATTCTGGTCTCTTGCTCAAGTTTGACCTCTTTCTGGTAGTCGCCGACATACCAAGCCCCCACTCACCGACACACACTCACCCCACCTTGGCTAGAATTAGAATAATAGAATTGGAAGGGACCTTGGAGGTCTTCTAGTCCACCCCTGCTTAGGCAGGAAACCCTACACCACTTCAGACAAATGGTTATCCAATCTCTTCTTAAAAACTTCCAGTGTTGGAGCATTTACAACTTCTGGAGGCAACTTGTTCCACTGGTTAATTGTTCTAATTGTCAGGAAATTCCTCTTTAGTTCTAGGTTGCTTCTCTCCTTGGTTAGTTTCCATCCATTGCTTCTTGTCCTGCCTTCATGTGCTTTGGAGAATAGCTTGACTCCCTCTTCTTTGGGGCAGCCCTTGATATATTGGAAGACTGCTATCATGTCATCGCTAGACATACCCAGTTCCAGCAACCGTTCTTCATATGTTTTAGTCTCCAGTGCCCCAATCGTTGTTGCTCTTCTCTGCACTCTTTCTAGAGTCTCAACATCTTTTTTACATCGTGGCGACCAAAACTGGACTCTGTATTCCAAGCGCGGCCTTACCAAAGCCTTAAAAAGCGATATTAACACTTCACGTGATCTTGATTCTACCCTTCTGTTTATGCAGCCTAGAACTGTGTTGGCTTTTTTGGCAGCTGCAGCACACAAGTGGCTCATATATAAGTCTAAGTACTATTGCTATTATTATTCTACCTTCTCCCTATTGGTGACCTGCTGGAGGTAAGGAGACCATCCTTCTGAACATCATTGTTTGGCTAAACCATCATCCCTTCCTTGCTTTCTTGCTGAAGATGAACAGTTGGAGAAAAGGGAGGTAAGAAAAGGCAGATTGCCAGTCCAGCCGTGACACGGATGACTTTTGAAACTGAACGGTGCTTTTGAGAGATTAGAAGGACACCCAGGGTGTTACTCCTATGTTTAAGAGATAATTACCAGCCACAACCTAAAGCCACTGTAAATACCCATTGAAAGCCCCACTGTTTACCAGGTTTGAGGGTATAAATTTCCAGCCCTTATATAACAGGACGTCTGAACAACACTGCCAGGTCCGTGAAGATTTTGTTCCACGCCAGTTGCAAGATGTTTCTATAGTAACCAATGCATTTCCAAATGGGAAGAGACGGAAGCTTTTAAAGACAAATAGGAGAAGTCGGCGAGAAGTAAAGGATGAGGAGAAGCTTCCGCTGTTTTCCTTCAGGAATGCTCCACTGCACAGATCTGAGTGCAGAGTGAGATTGCAGCGCAGGGTGGAAAACAGCCTTGACCAATCCAGGGTTTATAAAAGTTTAACAAACTAACAGAACAACAGACCGAGGAAGGGACCTTGGAGGTCTTCTAGCCCAACCCCTTGCTCAGACATTTGTTTATTAGCATTTATATACCACATGCTAGTGGCCAATTTTCACCTTCATAATTCTCCTGGAATTATAAAACTGGAATGCTGCGTCCAGTTTTGGTTGCACACGATATAAAAAAGGAGGTTGAGACTCTAGAAAGAGTGCAGAGAAGAGCAACAAAGTTGATTCAGGGATTAGAGGCTAAAACATATAAAGAACGGTTGCAGGAACTGGGCCTGGCTAGTTTAATGAAAAGAAGGATTAGGGGTGTCATGATATCAGATTTCCAATATTTGAGGGTCTGCCATAAAGAAGAGAGGGTCGAGCTCCTCTCCAAAGCACCTGAAGGCAGGACAAGAAGCAATAAGGATGGAAACTAACCAAGGAGAGGTGCAACCTGGAATCAAAAGGAATTTCCTGACAGTGAGAACAATCAACTAGTGGAACAAATTACCTTCAGAAGTTGTAGGTGCTCCAATACTGGAGGCTTTTAAGAAGAGACTGGACAGCCATTTGTCCAGAATGGTTTGCCAACCCAGTTGCATAAACAAGTTGCATAAACCAAAACCAAAACCAAACCAAACCAAACCAGAGATGTGACAGTTCAGCCAGGCCGCCCAATGCCCATGGTTTGGAACGGGACGAGGGACACTTTTAAGCCATCCTTATATTGTCGTGATCTTTCCTCCAACCAAGGGAGAAGAATAGGCAGGTTTAGCAGAAAGAAGCATCAACAGCATCTTGCAGATGACTTCTTTTGGTCTTTGTGGGTTTACTATCACTTATCTGTGTGGAATAAATAAAATAAATGTGAAGAATAAAAGTCACACTTCTTCTTTTTTTTAACCTGGACTCTCACTTAGAGGAATGCTGGCAGCAAGATATATATATTAGTGGTGCCCCCTCTGCTGGTTGACACAAAAATAAAACAATGGACAGCCAAGGCTATTCCCCCCCCAACCCCCTCTGTTTATTTCAAGAGGGGCTGCAATGTTTTCACTGGTTAATTAATGACTTCTTTGAGGATTAATTTTAGCTCGTTAAGGCTTGATGCTCTCCGTTAAGACGTAGGGGGATAAAGTTGCAAAGAATCCCTCTTCCTTTTTTGCTTGGAAACATGTCCAATCACGGAGCTTTTAAAGAAACTTGGGAATCATTCAGTTCTTTCTCATAGATGCGATGAAGCATCAATTGCATTAAAT